CCTCTTTGTAAGATGTCAGCTACTGAATCCACGGTCCTACTATACAGTGCCTGATGTACCCAGAGCTCACCCAGGGCCTTGTTTGGTCTTACAGGCATTCTCCTCAAGAGATTGTGACTATGTAACCCAAATAAGCTAGCATTCCGGAAAGATACCTGCAGTGGGAATAATGCATAGCTCTAACATACCACTGTTGACTCTGGAAGTCCTGCCTTTCCCAGAAGCCATAGCTCTCAAAGAGCCCATAGGGGAAATGTGAGGTGACCCATGCTAGTACTCCATATATTCCTAGGAAAAGATGCTATGAACAAAAAGATACAAGGACTGTGGGCCACTAATAGAGGAACAGAGATGAGCACAGAGAATAACGAGGGATGTTGCACATGCAACATGAGGCCTTGACAACCTGGACCAATGATATCGCCTAGTAAGTGACCATATCTGAACGCCGGCCACGTTTTTAGAAACATAGGCTCCAAGGCTCATCCCAGCATCCTTTGCTGGTCTGCGGGCCAAATTGCTACAGAAGCTTTTCCTGAGCTCCACACCACCTCACCCCACAAGAAGGTCCCAAGTTACCATGCTCCCCTCCCCGACCCCATCCTCAGACACGTTCAAATTCTAACTTCCTATATCTGCGAACACTATTTGGAAACAGTCTCTGTAAGTCATCCAGGTAAGATGCAGTCATGTGGTCTTGAGTGGGCCCTGAATGCAATGGCCAGCATCTTTATAAGAAAAGGCCGGGTGGTAGTGGCGCACGCCTTTAATCCCAGCACTTGGGGGGCAGAGGCAGCTGGATCTCTGAGAGTTTGAAGCCAGCCTGGGCTACAGAGTGAGTTCCAGGCCAGCCAGGACTACACAGAGAAACCCTGTCTCGAAAAACAAAGAAAGAAAGAAAACATAAAGAAAAGGAGAGAGGGAGATTCAGAGATGCAGGGTAAAGGCCATATGGAGACAGAGGTTGAGCTTAGAGTGATGCATCCGTTAAGCCAAGAACACACCAGAAGCTAATAAGCAGCAAGGATCATTAGCACCTTCAAAGGGAGCATGGCCCCGGCTATACCTTGAAATTGGGACTTGTAGCCTACAGGACTGAGAGAGAAGTTTCTGTTCTTTTCAGTCATTTGGTTTGTAGCCATGTGCTATGGCAGGTCTAAAAAGTGCACGCACCTTTCAGTTCCCCAGAGAGCATCCCGTGGCATTTACTCACCTCAGAGCAGCTCCCACTACAGATGGGAAGCCCTGAGCAGGCCTGTGGCGTGACTCCAGTGCCTGAAGCTTTAGCGGCTACTGTGTGCGTTACAATACCACTTGTGCCCACCCACATACAGGCTGTGCAGTGGGCATGAGGTTTAACACAGGCTCTGCAACAGAGCAAGTTTCGTGGTAAAAACCATCACATTATTTCCCATAAGCATGTGAGGGGAGAAGGCTATGAATCTGTGCTTTTGATTTGTGAGTGGTAGATAATTATCAATGTAATAGTGAAACATCCTTTATGAAGTTAAAAATATCTACTGCCATCCGATGAGATTACAGTAACAGCAAGGCTCTCTACCGCAGGCCAGGTGTAGAGATGAGTTGGACAGGGTGACTGCCCCTAAGACAGTATGAGACAGGCGGTCCACTAAGGGAATGGAGACCACATTAACTAGGGGGCTCCCTTGATCCTGCTCCCACCATGTCAAAGAAGTTTTACCCAAACCACATCTGTAGCCATTCCAGAGCCGTGAACTGTTCTCTGCAGTTAACAGTGGTTATCTACAGGGACGGTAGATTTGTTATGGTTTTTTATTGGTGGGATGCCCCTTCCATGTTGGAGCACTTCTTCAACGTGGGTCTCAAATGCAGGCCTCCATTTATGCAGCACCTCCTCTGGGAAGGCTACTTGGATTAAATCTGCTTTGGGGTTGCATGTGGCACAGATATGGGGTACCGACCCGTTGCAGAACCTATATCCAGCTCCCGTTTTCCTCAGCTCTACTGTGCCGCTTTCTTCCTTAGAGCAGTCTCGTGTTTTCTACTGCCTGCAAATCAAACTCAGGCTTCCTGGCTCTTGGTTCTTCTCTTTACCATCCTCTGTTCGGTCAGACCATCACCTTGTGCTTCCTTAGCCTTCTGCTCCTCCAATCGGCACAGGCTTCTTTGCTTCTGACTCAGCCTTCCCGACTGGAAACCCAAGCCTGTCCACCACACCACGCACCAAGGAAACAGTCCAACACTGTTTTCAGGAACTAGGGGTCACTGTGGTTGTGTTCTGGAGTCCCAGCAGCCGAGCAGTGTGCTCCAACTTCTCTTTTTGTACAAACGCTTGCTAGTATGTTACCTCATGTGAAATCCTTTGTGTCAGCTTCCCAGCAATCCAGACAAAGTAAATACCAGCAATACAGGGTGAAAAAAATCATTACATTTGTGTGTGTGTGTGTGTGTGTGTGTGTGTGTGTGTGTGTGTGTGTGTGGTTGCTCATGTGTCAGTGTGCTTATGGAAATCAGAGAATCAGAGGACAACATGTGAGGCCCAGGGCTCAAATTCAGGCTTGGTGGCAAATGCCTTTACCCAATGAGCCACTTGACAGACCTAGTGATATAATTTTTAAATTGCACAAGGAAAACACTGAACAGCTCACCCAGCTGCCTACTCAGTGAACAAGGAATAGACAAGGAGGCAAAACATAAAATTGCTAACTCTTGGCAGTGCTCAGTCCTGGGTGGGCAAAACAGGTAGTAATAAAATCGACCCATCAGCAAGAATAACTGGTGTTATTTGCTTTGAAAAGAAGAGAGTTTTGAAAATGAAGGGGATCTCCACATGCTCATCTAACAGGAAACACAAGCTTCTCTCAAATTTCCCATCAAAGCATGGTCTCCTAGCAACAGCCACTGAAAGGTAAAGCTTTCAAGATTTCGATTTTACTATCTGTTATGTATTCTTTGTGACTCAATCTTCAAGGGTATGAAATGTCAAACTTGAAATTAAATTTCCACTAACCGAAATGCAATTTATTAAAGGAATTTGTCCAATCATTGAAACAACAAAAAGGTTCTCACTCAGTCTACTAAAGAACTATTAAAATTCTGGCCAAAATCTTTGAAAGTTCAACTGGTAAACGATTAAAAGCTGAAAGTGAAGTTATATTAATGAGCAATTTGGGGTTTAAAGTAACTATTGTAATACAAAATCTATCTGCTGGTCAATCTTTTTTTTTTTTTTTCTTTCTTGCAAACGTCAATGGAAATATCACCCAAGACTGGTTCACCTACTGTGGTGAGAGGCAGAAGGTTCTCAGCAGGCACAAGGCCCTCAGTTCAATGCCAGCATGAAAGGAAAACAGTTAAGAGTTCACCTAAAATCTACAGAAGCCAAGTCTGAGACAGGAAATATGGCCACTTCAGCTATATAAGCAAAATTAACATAAACCCAAGACTGCCAAGGTACTTCACAAATGCTGATCAGAAGTCACAATTAATTAAAACCACCTGGTGAGGCTGTGTGCAGCGGGGCACACCCTTAATGCTAGCACTCAGAAGGCAGAGACAGGCAGATCTCTATCAATTCAAGGCCAAAGGCCTGGTCTAGAGTGAGTTCAGGCCAGCCAAGGATACAAAGTAAGACTGTCTCAAACAAACAAACAAACACACACCACCCGGTGAAGTAGCTGGGAACTGGGCTCAGTTGGTAGAGGACTTGCCACACAAAATGGGCATGGTGGTACACATTTATAATTCCAGCTCTCTGGAGGTTGGCACAGGAGGATCACAAGTTCAGTTATACTCAGCCATGCAGAGTTCAAAGCTAGGCTGGGTTACAAATGATTCTTGTCTCCAAAAATTTAAAAAAAAAAAGCTGGAGAGATGGCTCAGCAGTTAAGAGCTGACTGCTCTTCCAGAGGACCTGGGTTCAATTCCCAGCACCCACATGGCAGCTCACAACTGCCTGTACCTCCTGTTCCAGGGGATCTGACACCCTTACACAGACGTACACACAAGCAAAACACCAATGCACATAAAATAAAAATAAATTATTTAAAAATAATAACAATAAAAGTGATCACCTGGTGAAAACCACAGCTTCTCAAAGGAAATCCTTGTATATTATCTTTGGGAATGTGAATTATTATAGCCACAATGGAACACAGCAGAGATATTTGGGAGGAAAATCCTTGAAGATAGTACTACTATGATCCAGCAATCTAACACGTTTAAATTGGTATGCTGAAGGACTGTCTATGCTCCTAGCTTGCTGCCACATTAGTTACAACAGTTCATAGAATAGATCTATTTAGCTAACTCTACAACATACAGAGAAAATACGTCATATATACATAACAGGCCAATACTGTTTATCCTTTAGGAGGGAAACTGTCACTTGCAACAACATGGATGAATTGGGAAGACATTAACACTGAGTGATATAAGCCAGGCACAGAAAGATAAATTCTATGTGACCTCATTGTTATGGGAGGGGAGTCCATAAAAGTCGAATTCAAGAATGAAACGATTGGCAGGCGAATGTGGTTTGAATGAAAATGCCCCATAAGGAGTGGCACTATCAGGAAGTGTGGCCTTGTTGGAGGAAGTATTGTTACCGGGGGTGGGCTTTGAGGTCTCAGATGCTCAAGCCAGGCCCAGTGTGGCACTCTCTCTTCCTGCTGCCTGCTGGTTCAGATGTAGAACTCTTGGTTCCTTCTCCAGCACCATGTCTACCTGCATGCCACCATGCTTCCCACCACAGCAATAATGTACTGAATTGTAAGCCAGTCCTAATTAAATGCTTTCCTTAATCAGAGTTGCCATGGTCACGGTATTTCTTCACAGCAACAGAACATTGACTAAGACAAGGAATAAAGGAGATTTGGGTCAAAGAGTGTGTGTTTTTTTTCTAGATGAAAGGGAGAAATGTCTGAGAAGTACTATAGAGAGTGCAAGCTACAGTTAATAATAATGGAGATTTCAAAATCCAGAGGCCAGAGGAAAGAAGAAAAAAAAAAGTGAGCTGATAAATGTTTGTAAATGGATTTACTTGTCCCAGAATATGAACATATATAAAAACATATTACACACCCATAAGTATATAAAATTACTGTCAAATGTGTAGGAAAATAAAACAGCTTCTCATAATTTGCAATAAAGGATATTTTTTTCTTGAAATGTTTGGTGCATACATTGTTACCATTTCAATATTCCAGAGCTATTAAATCGTCACAGTTGTCAGTAGGTGACTTCACACTGTTCCCAGCTTGTCTTTTCCTCATTTTTCCAGACCACATTTTAGAATCATCTGTGAGCTGGGCAGTGGTGGTGCAGGCCTTTAATCCCAGCACTCGGGAGGCAGAGGCAGGCGGATCTCTGTGAGTTTGAGGCCAGCCTGGTCTACAGAGTGAGTTCCAGGACAGGATCCAAAACTACACAGAGAAACCCTGTCTCAAAAAACAAACAAACAAACAAACAAACAAACAAACAAAAAACCCAAAAACCAAACCAAAACAACCAAGAACCATCTGTGCAAGCAATACTTACAGTTGTCTATACAGGATAGCTCTGTTTATTCATCTCTGTGTTTACGTGCATGCACAATTTTGTGAGAGGTCAAAGTCAGGTGTCTTCCTCAAGCATAGTTCTTGAGACAAGGCTTCTCATTAACCCTAGAGCTTCACCTGTTCCTGCCTCCCAGTGCTGGGCTCTAAGCATGCACTGTCAGCCTGGTTATGTGGTCCTGAGGATCTGAACTCGGTCTTATGCCTGTGAAGCAAACACTACCAACGGAGCCATCTCCCTATCAGGATGCTAGCCTCTTACGTAACTAAACCTCTTCTATTGGTGGTCAAGAATATGCACGACACTGAAGCAACACCCGCTCCAAGCTGCATGTGGACTGATACTCTGGTGGCTCCCCCTGCTCCCATACAAATCCACATACCAGGCAAATTAAGCAACTACAATTGTAAATGCATTGAAAGCTCAAACCATATAGCCAGATAGTGCCAGGCCCAGATGAAGCTGTTCACAGTGGTATTGCTTAGATAGCAAAAACTAACAAACAACTCAAAGGCCCATCAACAGAGCAACAGATCAACTGCATCATATTCATTAAAACTACGTAATACAAATGAATCAACTCTTTAAGAAGTCACAGAAATAAACATACATTGTGTCATTTATATAAAATTCAAAACCATATAAGATTAACAGCAGGGCAAACACAACTCAGAATGAGAATTCCTGGAGGGAGAAAGGACACATGGAACTTCCATAGCAAGTGACACTTTATCTCTTATACTCTGGCAGGTGCACAATTTACTATGTTTTATGTCTTATATACAAGTTTATGGACTTCTGTGGTATGAAATGCTTCCTTTAAAAAGACTGAAAATATGAAAGATGTTAAATATGAACACTACCATGTATGCATAACAATAAAATTTGTATGAAAAGTACACACAGAAAACGCCCCACTCTCCCAGTGCCCCACACCATCAGTGTTAACCTGAAGGCTAAAACGCTAGCATGGAGATGCAGAGTTAGCTGTGCCAGCAGGAACTCTGAGAGCGTCTGTGAGTGCTCCAAGTCAGGCAGGAGCAGACCTGCTAGCCGTCTGCTTCCTCCTCTGCCCTGTTCATCTGTACTTAGATTTTTCTTTGTCTTTGGACTTCTTTGGACTTCTGCTTCGGTCTCTCTTTCTACTCCTTTCCCTTTCATAAGGATCTGTCTGGTACTTGGGTTTGTGGCTGTTACTATAGTGACCGTCCCTTTCTCGAGATCGGCTACGACTGCGGTTCTGACGTCGGTCTCTTTTTTCGCTCTTCTGTTTCTCCCAACAGCTTTCTTCATCTTCATAGTGGCCAAAACCCATTTCTCTGTAGATATCCTGTCAAAGGAATGTAGTTTTAAAGTCAGTCAGCAAATAATCATCTATGAGCACTGTCAATTGTGGAAGCCTAGAAAAATCTGCCATTAGCAAGCCAATGAAACAGCTCAGATTAATTTGATTTTTATTTTCTGTGCCCAGGTGTTTCGTCTGTATGTGTGTGAGAGTGTTGGATCTCCTGGAATTGGTGTTACAGTCACAGACAGTTGTGAGCAGCCATATGGTGCTAAAAATTGAGACCCACTTTGCCTACCCAGCAGGCAAGCTGCAGTTAAATACTACTCAGCTTCCTGCTACCTAGGAAAACCCAAACTTCAACAATACAAAACCACCTATGAAATTAAGGTATAAGAGGAAAAAATTAAACAGATGCTTCTCTGAACTGAATAGCAACAGTGTGAAGAAGCCAGTTAGAGCACCTTAGGAAACTGGACTCTGCCAGCAAACAGTAGCACACAGGAACATCTGAGCTACACCCACCACCTAACCTGTGCTGAAGTTCCTGTTAGTAATTATGTCTTCAGACTAAAACAGAAAACATCCATGCTGAGCTTTCTTATAAAGAAGAAGAAATTAATACAGCTATACTGTCAAATCAAAATATAAAACCCCCAAAACTTACTTTAGTGACCTTATGGGGAAAAGGTTAGAAAATGACAAATCAGAATCTTAACACTTTTATCGTTACAAACACTATTATTTTAAGACTTAAAGGGGGTGTGTAGGTGTTAGAGGACAACTGCCAATAGTTGTTCTTTCCTTCACGTTGCTGAGACGGAGTCTGCTCTCTTGTCATTTCTGCTAGGCTGGAGTAGCGTGTTCCCACACTGGTCCTTAAGCTTCTGGGAGACCTTCCTGTTCCTACTTTCCATGTCAACACAGAGGCGGCGAGGACACCACAGAGATGTGGCCCCACAGCAAGTTTTTTTTCCTTTTTTTTCTTTTTAAAGGGAGGTTCCAGGGACTGAACTCATGTCATTGGATTTGCATGGCAAGTGTTTTTACCTGCTGAGCCACCTCCTCACCCCTTAACATTCTTTTAAAACTGTTAAGAGCGTTTCTTCCTTTTTCTGCATGTCAAAAGAAAAAGACTGCCACTGTCAAGTTTTAAGTCATCAGAAAGTAGGGGATAGGAAGATGGCTCAGTCATACGGTGCCTACATACCATACAAGGGCCTGAGTTCAGATCCACAGCTCCCATATGAAAACTTAGACAAGGTGGCCTGTGCCTGTAACCCCAGCACTGTGGGAGTAGTGACCAACAGATCCCTAGAGCGTTCTGGTCAGTGAGTTTAGCCAATCAGTGGGCTCTGAGCTCAGGTAGAGATGCTGTCTCAAAGAAAATCGTATGGAGGACAACAAACGAAGACACTTAACTAGAATCTCTGGCCTACAAACACACTACACAGATACATACTTGCATACAAATATATGCACAAAAACAAATACAAAATTTAAAATATCCCCCCCCCTCAAGTAGGATAAAAGGTTCCTAATACTGGGGAGGAGATAAGCTTGAACATATCCACTTTTGCATTTCTTTAAACTTTAGGCTGAAGATGATGCCCCAACATTGTGGAGAAACCTCGGGTGACTGTCCAGGCAGCTGGCTATTTCTGTCAACTCACATTTTTTTGGAAGCCGCTTGCTTGCACTTCCTATTTTACTAGGCACTATTATTTCCTTCTTGAGTCTCTGAGGGAGTTGAAGATTAGATTATAGTTATAGTTAGTTGAAGATTAGATAGTTATAGTTTTCCTTGTTAAGAATTTCAGAGAAGAAACTCACTAAAGAGGTGTAAGTGTATAAATTTGAAAGACTTTATAAGATAGTTCTCTGTTAGTAATACAAGTTGGGACAAAAAGTGAATCAGGTACATTTTGGACTTACCAAAATAGGATAGATAATGGAATGTTTTCTCTGAGTTTGTCAAATGCAAATGGATTAGACATTGTTGAGGTATTTATTGCTTGTATATATTGTATATAGTTATTGTATATAGTTTTTTTATATTTGTTATAACTTTATCTTTTTATTAGAATAAAAAGGGGAAATGTGGTGATACTTTATTTGTGCTCAAATGTGATATTTTATTTGTATGTTAATAAATAAAGTTGCCTGGAGATCATCTCAAACACAACATTTATCTCAGATCTGGATTCACAGAAGATACATAAGCACAGGTTTGAACACCCGTAGCTAAAAGCAACCTGGGCTTTGAAAGCTTTAGTAGAAAACATGTTAAACATCCATAGGAATGTGGTATGACGACTATTTTAAAAGATTGGGTTGACCTAGAACTAAATTAACAGAAATGAAGAGAAAGGAGGTAGACTATGGAAATGGTTTAGTGGGGATGGCCTATAAGCCTAGTACTGTGGGATGGCAGAGACAGGAGGATTGCTCAAATTTGTTGGCTACCAGTCTGGCTGCAGGTCTGGAAAGAGGCCCTGACATAAAGGACTGGGTGGAGGGTGATGAAGCCTCTTTTAGCCTCCAGAGGATACACCCTGCATATACACGTGTACAGGTACTAACATGATGCACACATACACACACACACACACACACACACACACACACACACACACACAAATAGTAATTTTCGAGGGAGGGAGGAGATACTCTGGTTAGATCTGCATTATGGGTCAATTCTATTAGAATAACAACAGAACTAAGAGAAGAAGAGGATCTGTTCCTGGTAAAAAGAGCAGCAGTAGACTAGTTAGGAATGTAAATCTGATCTAAACTATGGCTCCACTGCTTACTATACGTGTCAACTACAGGTCAATAACAAGCATCTTCCTTTATAATTTCTTCATTGTGAAACAGGGATAAAGAGCTTATCCCACATTTTAAGGACAAAAAAAAAGATTTTATTTCTTTTATTTTTATTTATTCATGTGAGGAATATTTGAAAGAATGGACAAAGATACAGTTTAAAAAATCTGTAGCAGGAACCGGGTGGTGGTGGCCCATGCCTTTAATCCCAGCACTGGGGAGGCAGAGGCAGGGGGATCTCTGTGAGGACAGCCTGGTCTACAGAGTGAGCTCCAGGACAGCTGATCTATACAGAGAAACCTGTCTTGAAAAACCAAAAATAAAATAAAATCTGTAGCAGGACATGAATGATGACAGTATTTAAAAGAGCTAACAGGCTATAAAAGGAGCGAGATTATGCCTCTGTCAGATGACACGGAGGGGTACGAATGATGCTCTTCAGGAGTGCGTATCAAACACACATTTACTAAAATATCTTTTAACTCTAGGAAAGTACTAAGGACCTGTACTGAAATCTCCAGCATTCACACAAAAGCCGGCCATGAAGTACAACTCTGTAACTCCAGTGCTGGAGATGAGGAAACAAGAATTTTGGGAGTCCCTCTAGCCAGCCAGTCTAGCCAAATGGCAATACCAACTTCAGGGAGAGACTATCTCAAAAATAACGTAGAAAGCTTACACAGGCAAGTGTGCTTAGACATTCACGCTAACATCCTCCTACACAGAGACAGACAGACAGAGGGAGAGAGACAGAGAGAGAGAGAGAGAACACTATTAAATGAAGACCAATATAAAATACATCATCACTGTCGGGCAGTGGTGGCACACACCTTTAATCCCAGCACTGGGGAGGCAGAGCCAGGTGGATCTCTGTGAGTTCGAGGCCAGCCTGTTCTACAAAGCGAGTTCCAGGACAGGCTCCAAAACTACCCAGGGAAACCCTGCCTTGAAAACCAAACCAAAACAACAACAACAAAAAAAAAAAAAAAAAAAAAAAAAAGCCATCACCTACAAGAGAAAGAAAAAAGGGGGTGGGATGGGGTTCAAGTTACACTTTGTATGTGTACTATTCTGTAGGTTTTTCCTTCAAAAAAAGCCAAAACCTCAGAGCCTCACTATATTGCTCAGCCTGGTTTCAAACTCTTGGCCTTCCTGCTCAGACTCCCAAGCATTACAACTGTAGATGTGTGCCACCACAGTGTTCAGTTAGATTTTATTTTTGAACCTTATTGTTTTAAGAACTACAAACCATTTAATCTCAGCACTTGGGAGGCAGAAGCAAAGGCAGGTGAGTTGGAAGCCAGCCTGGTTTACATAATGAGTTCTAGGCCAGTTAGGGCTACACAGTGAGATCCTGTCTCAAAACAAAGCAAGCCACAAAATAAAACTATAAACCAGACAAGTGTTTGCGCAATCCATTAACCTGATATGGAAACCGAGACAACCTGCCTGTGGCAGGAACAGGCTCGTGTCCTAGCCACAGGAGAGCTGCCGTCAGTGACTGTAAAGCAGCAGCGCCTTGACAGCGCCAGTGGAAGCAGTGCGATCAGCCAGAACAGACAATGTTCGCACACTTGCCCACATTTACTGTAACAGCCTGTCCGTCTGGGAAGTATTATCTCCTTTGTCAAAGAAGGAAACTGTGACTCAAAGTTAACGTGCCCAGGTCACGTCCATGGCAAGCAGTACAGAAATGTCACTCTTAACTCTGCGAACGGCAGAGCCTTGGCTCTGCTCACCCTGACCCATCTCTCCATCTGCGTCTCTTGCTTTGCATGCTCACACCCCGTGTTCCCTGCCTTCTCACCTTAGTCTACTGAAATTGTTCTCATTCGCCAGGATCGTCTCAAAGGACGGACATGAGGTAAATAAAAGCAGGGGGGCTATGATGGAGTGGCTTTCTTTTCCTTTTAATTTAACAAAAAGCCAAAACAGGCTAGAAATAATTTCTTTTCATTACCATTGTTTTAGGAAATATGCTGATGTTCAGGACAGTTTTGAGGTGATGTTTATTATGAGTGCTATTTCTATTTTATATCTACAGTATAGACAGGACATAACCTCGGCCATAAAGTGTGATGTCCTATGTAGTAAATGGATGCAACCCAAAAGTCATATTCAGCAAATTAAGTCAGTGTCAGAAAGACAAACTGTGTAAGCTTTCTCTCATTGTGACTCTACATTTTATATAGTCATGTACATATCGATTAAATATAGGAGTGAAACTGTCCAGGCCCCGGGGACATGGGGACTAATGGGAAAGGAGTGGAAGGAATGTTCACAGCAGGAAATGTGTACACAGAAGAAGATTTAAAATAAAATTAAGCGGCTGGAGAGACTGTGCCTCAGACAGGAGTGCCGAGTGTACACGCAAAAGGAACTGAGTGCAAGTCCCCGGAACCACATAAAGGGCACAAGAGGTAACCATAGAGCTATGAGGAACAGAGACAGGAGGACAGCTGGGCACTGCTGGCTGCCAGCCTAGCTCCAGTTCAGTGAGACCCTGTCCCAAGGGAGTAAGATGGAGAGGGATACAACAGGACACCAAGTGTCCTCCTCTGGCTTCCCTGCATACATAGCCCATGTACATACACTACATAAGTATACATACACATAGTTTTTAACTTAAAGTTTTCAATGCTGAGGGGCTGACAGATGGCTCAGCATTTAAGAGCATTTACTGCTCTTTCAGAGGACCCATGTTCGGTTCCCATCACCCACATAACGTTGGCTCATAACTGCCAGCAACTCCAGCTCCAGGAGATCCAATACTCTCTTCTGACCAACAATGGCAAGCACTATGTATTTAACAGACATGCATAAATTAAATAATAATAATAAACCTTTTAAAAAGTATTGACAAATTAAGCTAATAACTAAGAAGCAATTGTTCAACACAGCCAAATTTGTTTTTTGTTTTATTTTTATGAAAATAAGTATCCATAGGTAAGGAGATCACTCTTGGTTAAAGTGTGGAAATACATAATAACTGAAATTATTCTGAAAACAATATTGATACCCTGTGGGATACATTCTTTAAAGTTAAAGCCCATTATCCTGTGTGCCCATTGGGAATTACTGTTCAAAACTACCCCTTACTCCTAAATTACACCACCAATATGCACTGTATAAAAGGATAGGATATTGATTTCTCCATGTGTAAGCCTGAGGTTAGAAATACCTGATTAGGATTTTTGATTGGCATGTATTCTTCATCTTCCTTTTCTTCAGAGCAGTGACGTGTTTTCTTTTTGTGTTTTTTACTTGTGTGTGAGTGGCTTGATTTAGAGTCTTCTGCCTGCTCATCTAGTATAAGATCATATTTTGCACTGAAGCATTAAATTAAGGACAAATAGAATAAATAATGGAAGCAACTTAAGAAATATGGTAAACAGAGGAGGCCATAAAGCCAACTGTAACTTAAAGCAAATAGCATCTCAAAGCACAGAATACCTTTTTTGTTTTGTTTTGTTTTGTTTTTTTGAGACAGGGTTTCTCTGTGTAGCTTTGCGCCTTTCCTGGAACTCACTCTGTAGCCCAGGCTGGCCTGGAACTCATAGAGATCCGCCTGGCTCTGCCTCCCAAGTGTTGGGATTAAAGGTGTGTGCCACAACTGCCCAGCCAGAATACCTTTTTAAAAAATACATTTCTAAAATAAGTAACACAGTCTTCATTACAGTCAAGAGAAATGGAAGAGATCCTGGCATCAGCCAGCTAATAACCACCAGGCAAAAATTATAAGTAGGATGGAAATCAAAATATATTTGTCAATAGTATAAAATAAAAAACCCTAATTTAGAAATTGAGGGATGTCATCAACTAGAAAAACTAAAGGTATTATGAGCCCCAATGCCAGAGACACTCTTTAGCCAGAGGGCACACCACATGACTCTTCTCAGGTCAGTTAGTAGAGAACCCAGCAGTAAACAGTCATGATGCGGAAAGTCCTGGAAGAATTTATAGCAACTAAAATAAAACTAAGTTACATGAAAACAGATATACATATTAAAACCATTTTTAATTATCCGGAAATGAGAACAATATTTAATAATATATAATAAAATACATTTTAGAATCATTGCTAATAATTATTTTTAAAGGCTAGGAAGGCCTATATGAAAATTAAAAGTGAAAAAAAGCTTAAGTCAAAATACTGTATGGTTGATCCCAGGCCTTAGGAGACAAAGCTGGCAGATTTCTGTGAGTCTGCGTATATTCCAGCAAATTCCAGAGCAGCCAGAGCTACATAGTAAGACTCTGTCTCAAAACAAACAACAAACCAACCACACAGACAGGAGGAACGGCTCAGAAGTTCAGAGTACTAGCTGCTCTTCTAGAGGACCTGTGTTCTGTCCCAGTACCCCGTCAACTGGATTAAAACTGCCTATAACTCCAGCTCCAGAGATCCGACACCCTCTCTGGTCTCTTCAGGTACCCACATTCACACATGCACATACCTATACACACACACACACACACACACACCACATAATTTTAAAAACAACTTTTTAAAAAAACTTCATAAACATTAATACTTGTAATCTCAGCTACTCAGAAAGCTAAGGCAAAAAAGATTAGTCTGAGACTAACCCGGGCTACAAAGTAGGCCCTGCCTAGGGAAAGAGTGGGACCCTACATACATAATATAGTAATTTTAACTTCAAACTCTGTGAGAGATAAAGGCTTGAAAGAAAAAAATATAAAAAGCACCGTTTGTGTGTAACAGAAGTGAGCAACTCTTTTCTAATTTCATATAAAATGGTATTTAATTTTTAATTTTAATTGGAGCCAAGGGTGTAGCTCTGTGGTAGCAAGCTTGCCATCATGCAGAAAGCCCTGGGTTTGATCCTAGCACAATACTAATAGTAATAATAATAATAATAATAATAATAATAATAATAATAATGTTTTAAATCAGAAATAATCAATTTCTCTAAGGGAATAGAAAGCTTTAGAATAAAAGAAAGCATAAACTGGGCATGGTGGCACATGCCTTTAATCTCAGCACTAAACCAGCTTGGTCTATGTAATAATCTCCGGTCTATATAGTGAGCTCTAGGACAGCTATATAGTGAGACCCTGTCTCAAAAATAAACTGAGAGAAGGCATAAACCTAGTATACAAATAATCTCTAAATTGCTCTCTGAAGGTTGACTTCTGGAATGTGAGGAATATGAGGAAGCCTAGCACAAAGTGCTACTTTAGTTGCATCTGGGACTAGAGTCAACATGGGCATGTCCTTTAAGGACCAGAATCTAATGTCTGTTTTCTTTTTTTTTTTTGGTTTTTCGAGACAGGGTTTCTCTGTGTAGCTTTGCGCCTCTCCTGGGACTCACTTGGTAGTCCAAGCTGGCCTCGAACTCACAGAGATCTGCCTGGCTCTGCCTCCCGAGTGCTGGGATTAAAGGCGTGCGCCACCACCGCCCGGCCTGTTTTCTTTTTTTAATGTTTGTTTTCACAGTGGCACAGTTTAGGCTTTCCCTGAACATATCCCACATACACATACGATCAAAAGTTAACAATATCCTTTCTAGCTTTCCACAAGACAGCCAGAGACGGACCACCAGTTCCGTTATTACCTCATGATCTACAATTTCTTTACTCTTTTATACTATGTCTGGTTATTTCCATGTTCTTCAAACTAAAGGTCCTAATTCAGCGATGAGATGTGGAATTTATGGTTCATAACTCACAATTTTGGAAGTCACATAGAATAAGAAATAGAGAATAGCACCTTAAAAAAATACTGTTAGTTGGGGTGTAGCTCAGTGGTAGAGCAATTGTCTCGTATGTGCAAAGTCCTGGTTCAATCCTCAGCACTGTCAGAAAAAAAAAAAGACAAAACTTGTGTGATTTTGTTTCAGTTGTGTGTGAGGGGCATGTATATGAAAAGGAGGATATATGATTGCACTAGGTAAGATGCACACTTGATTTTTTTTAAAGATGAGGTTCTTAGTAAGTCACCAAGCCTAATCCCGAAGTAGGCTCAAGCAATCCTGTCTGAACTGCATGCATGCGCCCCACCCTCCTAAACTTTGGGTAAAGAAAAGAGTAGCAAGGGTGGGAGCAAGCGCAATCAGTAGAGTGGTTGCCTAGCATTCATTAAAATATTTTGGTGCTACAAACTTTAAAATAATACATTGACTTCCTTATAGTCAGAACAACCTCCATGGTAAACATCTCTGCGTTATGCTCTGCAGCTACATTTCCTTTATTTGTCCTCTACACTCCCCTTCTTAGTGGTTAGCCTAGACTTAACCTCACACATGCCAAGGTAACATTTGCACATATTCATCTATGCCTTTGATGATTCTAAGCTTTAATCACATGCCTCCCAATGTCCTTTTTTAAGGACCGACCTCAGCTTGTTGGTCTGGCTGCCTGCAAAGCCTCTTAGGTTGATGCTGTCAGCTCTCTTCAGACTCTAACACATCACAATGTTTTGTGCAGACAGGCAACACATTTTAAAGCATGAATATCTAAAGGCCAACCTGATACTCATCTCTCCTTGATGAATACTTGGAGAAGACATGCCTACGTAACACAGGAAAAGAGAACTCCTTTCCATCAACAGAAACTAGGAAACAAAGATGCCATTTACCAGACAGGATTGCCAAAGAAATGACCTTTGCAATGTGTAGAGTGATAGATTTATAATGGGAAAATCAGTCAAACTAATACGAATGACATAATGCCAACAGTATGTTTCACTGCTTTTTACTTGTCTCAACGTAAAACTTGGAAGAACCTGAATTACATGGTCAAGTCAATAGATTGGTTTTTAGTCCTCTAAATGTCAACTCTGGCACTGAACAGGAAGGAGCCCTAAACAAAGTTTTAGAAAATCTTTGTTGCTAAAATGACAAGGTATTATGCAGGAAAAAAGCAATCTAATTAATTATGTGACAAAGAACTACAAGATTTTGTTATCTAGCTAAGGAAATTAAATACAGGAGAAGGAATAACACAAAACATTAGTATATATAAAAATAACAAACTTACCTGAAGATCATTTGAGAACACTGGGTAAGTAGGAAGGTATTTAATGTAAGAATAGGGGGTAAAATACTTAGGCTTAAGTTTCTTTCAAACCTAACTTTCTCCATAATACCAAGTATAATGAAAAAGCCAAGTCTACGGGAGACACTGGGAAGCTGTGACCGTCACAAATGATCCACCCAGTGGACGAATGTGCACACGATTCTTGTAAAGGATACTCCTGTTTGGGCTTTACTTTTTCTTTCAGAACCAAATTGGATGGTTTATCCTGTTCCTTTTCATACTCCTTGAAATCACTCTTGGTATATTTCCCACCTGTTTATTAAGAGGGAAAAAGAATTAGTATCACATAAGGAAACACTAACAAGCTTATAAGTCACGAAGGGCTACACAGGGCACACGCTGAGAAGCAGGAAAAGTGAAGAAGGACAGAAGGCCCCAGCAGAGCTGCCTCTGCTGTGACTTTAGTTCTAAGTGCATGGTCGGTTTTCTCGGTGGCCATATGCTGCCATCTACCGACATTCGTGAATATTACAACGTCCAACACCCACACTACACTGTTCAGGCCAACAGTGCATCAAGCCAGCAGCTAACACCACACCTAAACAGACATGTAATTTCCCCCTACAACTGTAATCACACTATGTAAAAATCACAAGCAGCCAGTCTGGCAGAGAATACAGGACGGACACCATGCTAATTTCCACCATTACTCTATCAAGAGCGAGTCAAAGTCATTCTGGTGAGACTGGTGAGCCAAGCTGGAACAGGTTCTCCTTCAGCCGCAAGAGAAGCTGACTCTTCAGCATTACGACCCAACTGTGAACTAAAAAGTTCTCTTTGTGAAACAGAGGGAAATCTGTGCCCTCTAAGCAGTGGACTGAGAATGAATTTGATCTATAAACAGGAAGCCAAAGAGGGAGGCACTGGTTGGGAACCTGCAGTGTGTACTGAGGAAACACACAGCATGGCTTCTGGTGAAGGCCATTGTGAAGGAACAACGGGGAGAGAGAAAGTTCTTCAGAGAGACCAGATATTTATCTGGGTTTTTATAGGCCTTAATAAAAAAGATCCATTCATTTTCACAAAGCACTAGTCAAAAGAGCACTGATCATGTATTTCAACAGTAGGGAAGAATCACAGGAGAAATGGAGAGCACAGGACCATGATCCAAGTCACTTCTCCTAGCAGAGATCCCAGCTGCCAGGCGCCTTCCAGCCACCAGCTCTAGTAATGGATCTCTCCCTCTTCTAAAGCCTACCACCTGCCACCAAACAGTCCTACGCATTTCTTATTTTTAAATGCAGTGAAATCATGGGAAACGAGTTACAAGTGGTATAGAAAAAGTAATCTTGAGGCTGGAGTGATGGCTCCATGGTTTAGGGCACTGTTCTTGCAGAGGACCTGGGTTCAACTCCTAGAACCCCCCGATGGCTCATAACTCTCTGTAATTCCAGTTCCAGAAAATCTAATACTCTGGTCTCTGCCAGCACCAGGCATACACATGGTTCACATACATATGTACAGGCAAAATATTCAGACATATAAAATAGAAATAGATAAATCTTTTAACAAAAAAGAAAAGGTAATCTTCATTTTCCTGGTAAGATTTAGCACGACATGTGAATAACTACCAAGGGAAACCTGTTGTGTTGTTGCTGTTTTGTTTTTCTGAAACAGGGCCGTAACTCTGTAGCCCTGGTTGGCCTGGAAGTGGCGATGTGAACTCATCTGGCCTCAAACTCACAAAGATCCACCTGCCTCTGCCTCCCCAACACTCAACCCTAAGTGAGACCTTTTAAAACCAGGGTTAAGAAATGATTTTTAAAACTCAGCTAGGAATATAGTCCGACGACGACAGACACATACTTAGCATCTGTGGGACTCCTATGCCCAGTCCTTGGTACATACGCACATGCACACACATGCACAAAGTTCACGAGATAAAAAATTACAGCTAGGGTGGGGAGTCAACACTTAGAATCTTAACACTCAGAAGACTGAAGCAGGAGGACACTAAGTTTAAGGCCAACCTAGACTCCATAACAAAACTACGTCTCAAAAATTTTTAATTAAATTTAATTTAAAAATTTGAAACTAAAAAGACAGAATAATAAAATAAAAAAACTCAGGATCCAGCATATAACAGATCCAAACTTAAGTTTGGCATGCCTGTATCAGGGACTTACATGCAGACATACAGCAGGTGTGAGAGACGCCACGCATACATGGCCCATGGAGGAGCTCAGGCAGTAAGTGATGACACACACTTAACGGAGGAGAGAGCAGCCAATGGAGAGAGCCAACGAGCACATATACTCATATGAAATGAGCTCTGAAGACACATTACCAATGGGGACGCTAAGACACTGAGTAATGTAATCTGCATCCTTTGAACTCTCCTTTTTAAAATGAGGAGGAAAAAACATATGCATGTGTGTACAAAGAATGGCTGTAGAAAGAACAGGCAACTGGTTATTCTGGGAAGAGAAACTGGGCAGATGAGGAGTGGAAGAGAATTTTATATAACAACAAAAACAAGAAACAAAACTTTTAAAAAGTTTGTATCTAAAAGAATCAAATTATCAAAAAAGTCATAATTATTTCAGAAATAGATCATGTCTTCAATGGGTAGTTCTAAATAGCTTACAATATAAGCAAACGCTAAAAACAATGGTATTTTCATCCATCAACACATATATACACACATTCTAGATAGTAGCTTTACAAAATCCTAAGTGACCTGAATTCTATTAACATTCCCCTTAATTAACAACACAAAATTAAAGCACTTATATGCATGTGTACACACACACACACACACACACACACACACACACACACACACACACACCTTTATTGAAGCAGAACATCAATAAAAGGAGATAAACCAACATACCTTTCCCCTTCCACTTAACCTTTGCAACAGACTGGCTAAAATCCACATGTATTCTCCTGTCATCTATAAGTACATTATCCATTTTGAAGAACGCTTTCTCACAATCTTCTTCCTATTAGTGATTACAAAAATTCAAGTATGAATGTTCATAGGAAAGATTTCTGCAACTATTACAAATACTGTAAACACAAAAAGGCCATTGTTACTAAAATTAATATTCAAATATTTCTTATTTACCAGATATTAAATGCATTGCATCTACTATCTCAATTAACCTTGGTAATAACCTTTTGAGGTTCCATCTATGTATTATCTCAATGAGAAAACAGAAGTTTAATGAGGTCCAGTACAGAAGCAGCCAATGGTTGGAACCATTATTTGAACTGAGGTGGTCTGACTGTAGTGGACACACATACACTTACCACCTGGATGATGCAAGTCTACAATGCTAGTTACTCAAAACTCAAAAATACTATATCCTCAAAGTGAACGTTGTCTTCATAAATTTGGTGTTAAAAGTAATTTAGCAGGGGTTGGGGATAGCTCAGAAGTAGGACACTTGCTTACTGTGCACAAAGAACGGGTGGGGGTGGGAGGGATCTCTAGAACCAAACAAAAACCTCTGGCAAGCCAGGCAGTGGTGGCACACACCTTTAATCCCTGCACTCAGGAGGCAGAAGCAAGTGGATCTCTGAGTCTGAGGCCAGCCTGGTCTACAGAGCTAGTTCCAGGACAGCCAGGGCTATACGGAGAAACCCTGTCTCGAAAAAACAGAAACCAAACCAAACCACAACCAAACCCTGGAAATTTGGCAGCAGTATCTGGACCTAATGGGGGACTATGACCATTTTCAAAATCAACTTAGTATGACTGGTCATTTGTTTCAATGCAGAAATATTTCTGTAATTAATTACAGAATGCTGGCCTAGTGAAATACTCCATAATCAACAAATGGAATGTGAGTTCAAGCCAGCCTGGTCTATATAGAGAATTCCACGCCAGCCAGGTCTACATAGTGAGGTTCTATCTCAAAACAACAAAACAAACAAGCAAACAAAAAGTTAAAGGACTCACACTACAAGATGTCTAACATAAGCATGGCACCAGCACCTAGAACCAGACTTTAAACACATATGAATGAATGCCTGAACAAAAATGGTCCCACAGAGCTCTGGGAATAGGAAGACCTTTATGTTTAGTTGGGCTGAGTCACATGAGTAAGACAAATGAAATGCAGTGGAACACAGAGGGCAGAGACAGATCACAGACCCCTCCAGCAAACCCCTACCACACAGCATGGTTTATGAAAACAGTAGAGAGGGACTGAACACAGAGCTGGCTGAGTAGGTTCTTGCACTTGCTGCTTTTGTAGAGGACCTGTGTTTGGTTCCTAGCACCAATCAGCTCAGAACCACCCACAACTCCAGTTCCAGTGAGTCCAGTGCCCTCTTTTGGCTATAAGAACACCGGGCACACACATGGTGCACATGCATACATACAGACAAAACATTCACAGACATAAAATTAAACAAAGCTTAAAAAATAGTATAGAGAATATCTTTAGGTCTTTAGAGTAAGCAGAATTTTTAGAGGCTGTGTTGAGAAAATGTTGACAAATGGGGCTAAGTTAAAACTATTACTTTTGAGTTTATCAAATGACACCATTAAGAAGGGAAATGAAACACACACACACACACACACACACACACACACACACACAAAAGATCAGGCAGTGGTGGCACATGCCTTTAATCCCAGTACTCAGGAGGCAGAGACAGGGGGATCTCTGAGTTCAAGGCCAGCAAGTTCCAAGATAGCCAGGGCTAGGCAAAGAAACCATGTCTCAGAAAAGAAAGGAAATGAGAAATCCACAGAACAAAAGATATGTATGTATGATATATTTTATATATGATATATATATCATATTAAAAAGAGCTTGCATTCATAACATAAAGAGTTCCTGAAAGACAATAAACGGCAGGATACGCAATAGGAAAGCAGGCAAGCAACCTTGTAATAAACAATCTTAATGGCACAAATGTGGAGTGAAGGGCAGGCAAACCTTGCATATGCTCTTTGCTTTAGGAGCACATTTGGGCCAGTGAGATGGTTTAGCAAGTTAAAAGTACTTGCCACAGAAGCCTAACAACCTGAGTTTTATCCCTGGAACCCACAAAAAAGCCCGATGTGGTGGCACTCATCTGTAATCCCAGCACTAATACAGCAAAATAAGAGGTAGAGGCAAGATGAGAGGTAGCCTCAAGTACGTAGCATGGCAGACAGAAATGAGACACCTTGCTTTAGAACAAGGAGAAAGAATAGAATCAATTCCCAAACGTTGTCCTCTGACCTCCACATGCAGGCTGTGGTATGTGTGTATCCCCCCATACGAATATTGACAGCAATAACAATGAAATCTGGGTTTCAGATACTATTTTTATATGTACGTTTGCCTGACTGTATGTCTGTGCACCACTTGTGTAGAGTGCCCATTGAGGCCACAAGAAGGTGTTGGAGCTCCTGGGGTTAGAGTTACATACAATTGTGAACTAGGATGGAGGTGCTGGGAATTGAACCTAGATACTTTGGAAGAAAACCAATGTTCTTAAGCACTGAGCCATCCTTCCAGCTCCTAAAATTTGTTTTGTTTGTTTGTTTGAAGTATACATGAGCTGGGGAGATGTATCGGTGGATAAACACACTTGCTGAACAAGTATGAGGCCAGAGTTTGCCTCCTCAGCCATGGAAATGCCAGGTAGGTGTGGTGGATGACCTATCAGGAGGTGGAGATGGGCTCTCTGGAGCAAGCTAGTCCAGCCGCAGGCTTAGCAAGATCCTGCCCCAGTAAATGAAGTAGTGAGCAATTAAAGCAAGACAGCCAGCATCAGCCTTTGGCTCCATATCCACAAGCACACAAGCACACACACACACACACACACACACACACACACACACACACACACACACACACAGACATCCAAATGGTAATAAACGTGAGGAGAGAACAAGTACTCAAGCAGAGAAGTGTGAAACAAACCACGATAAAGCATTACTACAGTAGCTGGAGAGCAGGTCACCAGGCAGCTTCCTGCTTTTGCAGAGAACGGAGTTTGGTTGCCAGCACCCATGCTGGGTGTTCAGTCTTTGCCCTAAAGCTGACCTGAACTATGTATCCATAGAAAATGACCTGCCTGCAGGAAACTGAAAGACAGAGCAGTCACCAGTCTCCATGCTACAAATGAAACCTTACTTGTAAGCAATAATAATAGAGGTCGATGACAGAACAGTCAGATTGATGAAAAGTTTCCATCGTAAGCCAAAAGCAAAGCTCTCTTTTCTGCTGGCACCAATAAACTTTGAAATATATAAATTTTAGTACATATGACACAGTATCTAGGTATGATCTGCTACTGTATGCTTTTCCTAATCCTCCATTATTCATCTTAAACCCCTAGGATTTAACACAGTGCCAAAAATACAGAAAATATTCAATAAATACTTTGGAATCAATGTAACTTGCAATGAGGCATTACTAGACACTAACTGGCCCAAAGCCACATTTGAAAACAAAACAAAAAAACAACAATAAAATGCAGCATAGATAGGTAAACTCATCAGGAACAGTGCCAGACATATCCACACTCAAATCCTAGCCATGACATCCTCAGGTACATGATGTTGAGTAAACCACAGGACCACCCTGTCTCTGTTTTGGAAAAATAAAGACAGCATCTATCTCCTAAGTTGTACATATTACATACAGGAAAAGTAAGGTAATGTCTGACCTGGAGTAAGCACTCAGCCGGCCAAGCTCTCATCACCACTGCAGATCTAGCAGCAGCTTCCTGACCCTTCCTCTGAGGAAGGAAAGCCTCAGGAAGAAGAGTAAGTAGGTGAGCGCTGCCCAGTAGCTGGCCAGGGACTGAGCCTGCATTCATGTCTAGATCTTAACACTCCCCCATTTTTCTTCCTGGTACTCAGGTTACAATAAACAGTCTGTGAAGGACTTTTTCTAAAACAATTATGTTCAGACAGATTGTACCTGAACCCACAGTAAACATATATTACCATCAGTAAATGTCGAATTTATTCCCAGTGTAAAGTTACAATAAAGTTAACGTTCTTAGATGCCTAAAGAAAAACACAATACTAGAAACTAAAAAAAGTACTATAATTTTTCATTTTTAAGATTACTCAAGTTCGAGGCCAGCCTGGTCTACAAAGTGAGTCCCAGGACAGCTAGAGCTGTTACATAGAAAAGACCTTGCCTCAGAAAACAAACAAACAAACAAACAAAGACTACCCAAAAACAAAACAGCCAGGTGCAGTGGTGCACACCTCTAACCAGACTCTACACAGGAGGCTGAGCAGGAAGATAACCAGTAGGACATCAGCCAAGGCATCACAAAAGAACCCACCCTCAGAAAAGAAATAGTGAAAACCAGAATCTGGTATATTTAAACTATGACATACCTTTTCGAATTCAATAAACGCATAACAGAGGGATTCTCCTGTTTTCCAATCTCGGATAACTTCACAACTGAAAAAAAAATTTTTTTTTTGAAAAGTCACTTAAAAAAAAAGAAACTATTTGCTCTAATTCTTTAGGCCAGAACAAAATAAGTCAGTTATTAAACTTAGGGATGGCTTCAAAGTTTTCAGTAACAACTCTATTTACACACACACACACACACACACACACACACACACACACACACACACACACACAGAGCTCATCCATCCAGTAACTGAATTATCTAAACTCTATTCCAAATACACAAACTAGGCTATAGTGGTGGAGGTGGGGTCCGGCTTCCTTTTAACAAGAATAAACTGCTAAGCTCTTTTCATTTTAAAATTATTTATTTTTACATTTCTGAGACAAGATCTTTTTGTGTATCCCTGGTTGGCCCGGTACTCACTATAAAACCCAGGTAATCTCAAACTCACAGCCATCTTGCTGCCTCGACCCTCTATGTACTGAGATTAAAGGTGTACACTATCATGTCCAGAAAAATCTTTAAATCCTAAAGTCTTCTTTAGTCTAAACAAAAAAGACTTAAAGAATGTTACATAGATAAGTGCTTATTAGTACATTTATCCTTTTGAATTAGATACAAGGACCCACTATGAGGCCCTGGCTAGCCTGGAACTCATTATGTAGACCAGGCTGGCCTTGATCATAGAGATCTTCCTGCTGCTGTCTCCCAAGTGCTTAGGTTAAAGGCATGAGTCACCACAATTTAGGCTTTGGGTTTTAAAGTAAACGAGGCTCAAGCACTGTAAGTACAGTTATACAGAACTAATTCGCCAAACAATATCAAGGGAAAGAAATCAAGAAGGTAGAGTTGAAAGTGGCTGGTTTGTCTCTCCCCATGTATCATATGAACCATTTTTAGAAACATTAAAGGGCATCCTAAATGTAGGACATGTTAATCAGTTAGAAAATAGTCTCCTTTGACCAGCTTGGTATATTTTTGCATTAATAATACAGGGAGGGGCCGTGAGATGGTTCAGACAGTAAAGGCACTTGCTCCTGGGACTGGTGACCTGAATTCACTCCTGGCGCCCACATGGGGGAAGAGAACCATCTTAGCTGGGCGGTGGTGGCCCACACCTTTCATCTCAGCACTCGAGAGGCAGAGGCAGGCAGATCTCTAAGTTTGAGAACAGCCTGGTCTACAGATCAAGCTCCAGGACAGCCAAAGCTACGTAGAGAAATCCTGTTTCAAAAAAACCAAACGAGAGAGAGAGAGAGAGAGAGAGAGAGAGAGAGAGAGAGAGAGAGAGAGAAAACCATCCCCTGCCAGCTGTATATATTTTCTAAAAAGCTAGTACCAGTTTATTTTTTAAATAATAATAGTAATAATGGCTAGAGAGATGGCTCAATGGTTCAGAGCACTTGCTGCTCTGCCAGAGGCCCCGAGCTCCACTCCCAGCAACACACTAGATGACTCACAGCTATCTATAACTCTAGCTCGGACCTGGTGCCCTATTCTACCCTCCAAGGACTCCTTCATACATGTGGCATATATGCACACAGACACACACAAACTTTTTAAAAATAATAATATTTTAAAGTAAATACTCAATGTTAAAAAATGATAATAACAACATAGGGGAAATTAACCAAAGAAAAAGATTTTAACTGGGGTAGTCTGGTAGTTTATAAAGTGCTTGTCTTGAATGCATGGGAACCTGAGTGTGCAATGGTATGAGCTTGCAATCCCAGTACTAGAGAGGTGGAGACAGGAGACAGGTGGATCCCTAGGACTCAGTGTGGCCAGCCAGCACAGCCTACTTGGTGAGCGCCAGTCAGGAAGAAACACAGCCTCCAAAATATAAATGAATAAATAAATAAATAAATAAATGATAGATAGACAGACAGACAGACAGACAGATAAGAATGTGGACAATGCTTGAGGAAAACACCCAAGGTTGTCCTCTGGCCTCTACACACCTGTACATGCAAAATAAAAATAAAACCCATAACAACAAATCACAATTTTTTGCTTTTGAGGTGTGGTAATGCAAACTTATAATCCCAACACTCACGAGTGTGGAAGATAGGCTTAAGGCCAGAGTAGGCTACAATAGTGAGACCCTGTCTTAAAAAACTTGTGCACTCACACATGCAAAACACACACACACACACACACACACACACACACAGCTGGACACAAAGTGTACTTGATAAAGAGTTTGCCAAGTACACAAGAAGCCCGAGGCTCATTCCACAGAACCACGGAAACGGCCTGTGGCAGCCACCTATAACCCTAGCACTCAGGAGGTGGAGGCCGGAGGACCAGGAGTTCCAGGTCATCCTTAGCTACATGATAAGTTTAGAAAATAAACACATAAAACTTGGAAATTTTAATACTGACATAGATTGCTAATAATTTTAGGAATTAATTTAAATAAGTATTTTAAATACTAAATAAGGTTGTTGAGAGTATTATACAAGTAGACAAATTGCTCAACTCATATTTTATTGTGAAAATGTGTTAAGAATTGAAGAATCACTCAAACATTTAATTTGTGCATATGTCTGAAAACACACTTTTCTTTCCTACTGTTGAAACACACATCTATAAAAATTACCAGTATGAGATTCACCAAAGAAGCTGGCAGAGGGTTGGCTTAACAGGCATGATGCCCTAGGTTTGATCCTCAGCCCCACAAAAAAATAAAAACAAAAATTTTTAAATTCACTCAAAATCGACAAACTCACCAAAAATGTGTAATTAGGAAACTTCTGCTGAGTATTCTGGCATGGGGCTTTAAGCCCTAGCACTGAGGAGGCAGAGGCAGGAGGATCTCTGTGAGTTCAAGTTCTGCATGGTCTATATAGAAATTGCTGACCAGCCAGGTCTATAAATGAAACCGTTTCAAAAAGACAAAAAATAAAACAAACACCACACCAATCAATTAATACCTAGATATTCCCAAATCTCTCTTTCATTAATCCCGGGATTACCTTCTTATTGGTCCAAATCTTGAGAATATTATCTCCAGGTCCTCATCTGTGGTCACTGGATTCAATTTACACACAAACAACACATTTTCTGGAGGTTTAATATCTGCATCAGGTAGGTCTCCCACCTAAAGTTACAAATAATCAAGCATACAAATCAATTCCTTTAGTTTCTATTCCAAATATTTTGTCCAAGTCCACGACACTGATTTCCTAGAACCATCTAAATTTACAACATGAACTATAGGTTCAGGGTTTAAAAAAAAAATCTAAAAAACTTTCCAAGGGCTAGAAAGACAATTCATAAGATAAAAGTGCCTGCCATTAAGCTCAATGACCTGTGTTCAATTCCTAGGACTCAGATATGTTAAAATATGGTCCAAGAATAGAATGGATGAGATTTCTGAATGTTTGTAAGAAAACTCCAAGTAACCAAGACAAGAGTCTTGTGACCTCAGTTTCTTCAAAAATGTGGAATTTGTTCTTGGATTGTACTCTCATGCTCCTCCCAGGTGTAGTGGATAGTAGTGAGTTTACTTCAGATTATTCATTGCAACTGGCTATTGTTATTTGTTTATATGCCTACATGGAAAAACATGAGTCAGTAGTAGTGGTGCACACCTTTAATCCTGATACTCAGAAGGCAGAGGCAGGCGGATCTCTGTGAGTTTGAGGCCAGCTTGGTCTACAGAGAGAGTTCCAGGACAATCATGGCTACACACAGAAACCCTGTCTCAAAAAAGGAAAGGAAAAAGAAAAAGAAAAACATGTTTTTGCTGCACATGCAGCTTGCCCTTGTAATTATATACCTTACTCTTATGACTCCTCTTAACACTCAGATTATAAATTGTCTGATGCTCTGAATAAAGTTGACTTTATTCCACCTCATTTGTTGGCTCCATTCTCCAGGTTCTATCACCGTTAGAGAGGTAAACACGCATGGTAGAAAAAACCAACTCCCAAAATTTGTCTCTTGACCTCCACATGCACATCGTGACATGCATGTACACATATACAAAACACAAAACAAAATGTAATAATTTTTTTTTCAATTAAAGAAATCTGATATATTTTTCCTAGTATTAACAATACTAATAGCTAATGTTTTTACCTAACTTGATACTTACAAATCATTACTGCTAATTCTTCAAGCAATACCACAGTTTCCATTCATTTATTTCCTTTTCAAATTTATTTATATTTTAGACAGGATCTTACTGGAACTCAGATGGACTCAAACTTGTGGTCCTCCTACCCCACCTTCTGAGAACTGAGATTACAGGTCTGTGCCACCATTCCAAGCACAATTTCCACTTTTAAAGGCAAGAACAGTGAAATCAAGAGTTATAGCTAGGATATGAATCCAGATCCATCCTGGCTTCAAAATTCCCAAATTATCCCTAATTTCTCTTTTTTAAGTATTTGAATATCATGTTTTAAAAAGATGTAAAGCATAGGTTGTGACAATACAAACAATACAAACTGCTGGGGCTCGGGGTGTCAAAGCCCCTGCCACCTGATGAACTAAGCTGGATCCTCAGTGGAAGCAGAAAAACACTCTGGCACACTGTCCTCTGACCCTCACACACGCCCATTCACAAAATAAAAACAATGCACTTTGAAACGAATGAGTGAAATGAAATAAAAACTATCTGGCCAGGAACAAATGTACTCCCTGGTCCCATTGTCCTTGCTTCTCTCACAAAGATCACTTTTTCTTTTTTTAAGATTTACTTATTTTTTGTTTAGTGTTCTGCCTCCATGTGTGCCTGCACACCAGAAGAGGGCACCAGATCTCACTATGGATGATTGTGAGCCACCATGCGGTTGCTGGGAATTGAACTCAGGACCTCTGGAAGAGCAGCCACTGCTCTTAACCTCTGAGCCATTTCCCCAACCACACTCCCCCTTTTTTGTTTTTTGGTTTGTTTTGTTTTTTGAGACAGGGTTTCTCTATGTACAGCCCAGGCTGTCCTGGAACTCACAGAGCTCTGCCTGCCTCTGCCTTCCAAGTGCTGGAATTAAAGGTGTGTGCCACCAGCACCTGACAAGATCACCTTGGTTTTTTTTTTTTTTTTTTTTCCTTTTTGGTTATTCCTTTTCATAGTCTAAGATGTTTACCACATACATCATTGAGCAATATATTATTTAGTTTCATTTGTTACTGAATTTTTGAAAAATATGATTATGTGGAATCTAGTCTTCGGTGATTTGTAATACCTAATTTTTTCCATACTGCTTTTCAATATGGAACCACAATTTCTACATAGTTTTTCCCTTAAAGTCTCAACCTATGCCTTTTCCTTTCTGCAGACTAAAGTCAAGATCAAAGTGAGCTGGAGCACCACACCGAGCACACTGTAGTGCACTTGCTGCACTTCCTACTAAAGAGCACAGAGGGCAGCAGTAGGTAGAACCATGAGGAGAGGAATGTGTTTCCCACAAGCGCTTTGAGGGCGACGATCTTCCCCTATGTGCATTTGAAAACCCTGAGATGATCATGTAAGAATCACCTACTGAATAAACACACCAAAAAGAAAACCTTGAAATGCAGAAACTGAAGAAGTTACAAAGCCGTAAATCTGGTCCACATTTCTGAAGCCTGTCAAAGGCAACAACAGTCTACTAACTACGTCCAGTGAGAAGTATCACAGCCAGGAACGGCAGCACACTCCGGGCTGGAGTCCACGCTACCTGGTAGGCTGATGAGCCTAGGAGATTGAGACTAGCCTGGGAAGCACAGTAAGACCCTGTCCAAAAAAAAAAAAAAATCCTAACACAAAAGAGAAAAAACAAATCAATAAAAATCCATAAATGACAGAAAAACAAATAAGAAAGAAGTTAATGGGGGAAAAAAAGCTTGCAGGAGACTGGGGACATGGCTCTGTGCTTAGGAACATGCACTGCTCTTTCAGAGAACCTAATTTTGGTTCCCAGAATGCACGTCAGGCTCACGACCACCTGTAACTCCAGCTCCATGAAGACCTGACACATCTGGCCTCCATGGGCACTTGTGCTCATACACACTCACACGCAAACACACATACACATAATTAGCTGGGCTGATATAGCTAGCCAAAGAAATGTGATTCATTATAGGGAATTAAATGATTCATCAGCTCAAAATAGAGAACAGTTATTCTCTAATATACATAAAATGGAGTCATAAATAATGTTCAAAAATTATATGAAAACTAAAATTCAATAAATATTTATAACTTAGATAGCCATCTCCTATTTTTTTTTTTTTTTTTTTTTTTTTTTGGTTTTTTCGAGACGGGGTTTCTCTATGTAGCTTTGCGCCTTTCCTGGAACTCACTTGGTAGCCCAGGCTGGCCTCGAACTCACAGAGATCCGCCTGGCTCTGCCTCCCGAGTGCTGGGATTAAAGGCGTGCGCCACCACTGCCCGGCACCATCTCCTATTTTTTAAATTTCTATTTTTACATTTACTTGTGTATGTGTGTGTGATGCGTGTGTGTGAATGTGGGTGTGTGCATGCCATGGTGTACATATAGAGGTCAGAGAGCAGCCTACAGAAGGTGGCTCCCTCCTTTCACCATGTGTGTTCTGGTGATCCCACCAGGTCATCAGGCTTGACAGCAATCACCTTCAACTCACCACCTCACCTCACCCCTCCCAGCTTTAAAAAGACACTCAGTAATTTACGGAAAAACAGAACCAAACTGTTATTTTCATGTTATTAGGTCCTATAAAATGTAATCCAGGAAGGAAATCTCACTAAATTTTTACTAGTTTATTATCACAAAAGCAGATAAGAATGTTTTATAGAAGTAACATAACATAAATGATGTAACGTGAGTTGCATAACAACTATTTGACCAAAATTATTATCTTACCATCTCTAGAAGAATAGCTTGAGTTTTAGCCTCTTTCTCGGCCTTTATTTCTTCGACTTCTTCAGCTGATCTTCCTTTGAAGTCATCAATTTCTTCATCTGCTCCTATTCGGCCACTCTGTAAAACAGAAGTTAAAGATCTGAGCATCATGGAAGATACCATGTTTTATTCTTGGCCTATCAGACATAACAGAATAGAAATTTATGAGCTCTGGGAACTCATTTCAATTAATTCTAGAGTATTTGCCAGACTTGGCTTCTGACTGCAAAATCAAAAGAAATGTTTACATAGGTACTATTATCCAACTAAGTGTTCAGTAGAAAGGATACATAATTGTACAATTAAATACCAAACTCAACCATAAATTCAGCTTTGAGAAAGCCTTGTGAACACCTTAAATTTATACTTTAAAATGCCTGGGAGAACATTCTTTACAGTCCACATAAATGCCTGGGTCTAGATTGGCTCCAGAATATCCCCACTTAAAAAGTATCTTATAAGATGATCTTCAGTTTGACCTTGAGGCTATTCTCCTAGAGTTGGGTGACAGAAAACCTTCCCAAAGCACTGCTTATATGAGGTTTCAGAACTAAGACTTCTGGCAGAATAGAAACTAAAAGACAGAAATTGAAGAAATAATGAAACAACTACAAAATAAGCATCTCTATGGGCGAGAAAAGAATTCTAAACTTGCTCTAGTATAATAGATAAACAAGATAAAAAAATAGAAAGAGATATTTTAATATAACTATACAAAAATGTGCTACTAGCTGGGTGTAGTGAGCACTCCTTTAATCCCAGTATGTGGGAGGCAAAGGCTGTCGAATCTCTATGAACTTCAGGCCAGCCTGGACTACATAGCAAAATGCCAGGCCAGCCCAGGCTACATTGTGAGACTGTCTCAAAAGAAAGAAAACAAACAACACCAAGGTGCTACTTACATCTAATTGTTCCCTTGTAGGCTCTGGTGATCGATCAGGAATTAATAAATCAGGAGGGTCATCAAATGGATCATCTAAAATCACTGTATGATTTATCCTTACAAAATAAATTTAAGTCAAATGTTACATTTATTTTAGAGTCCATACTTATTTTTTCACAGATTTTAACATATAAGTATTTCTAATGTCCAAAGACTCCACGGTGGTATTACTGACCTACAGTATACTTTTAAAATGAGCTGTACTGTATTTCCTTCTATATTATTGTTCTGTATTACTTTATGACGTAAATTAAGCTGGACATGATGGCACCTGTAATCCCCAGCATTCAGAGGTCAAGAGAAGAGAATCACAAGTCTGAGACTAGCCTAAACTAGAAAGGAAGTTTCGGGTAAGCTGGGTAACAGAGTGAGACCCTGACTCAAAATACACACATGAAAAACTAAAGAGAGAAAGAAAGAAGAAAAAAGTAAATTTCTAAACCTTGTTACTTGTGCCCTGTTTTTTAATAATCCACCTCTTAAAAAAAAAAAAAACTGAAAGAGTAATTCTTACCAATATAACAATCAGTACAAGAGAAAGAAAATAAAAGTTCCTTTTCACGAGGATTCTAATGATCTCATATTAATTCACACTTCAGAATTATTCTGGAACTAGTTGTGACAGTTAATTTCAATCATCAACTTGACAGGATCTGACACCTGGAAAGGGAGTCTAGATTAAAGTGGTCTGTGGGAATGCCTGTGAGGGATTTTCTTTCTTTCTTTTTTTTTTCCTTTTTCTTCCGAGACAGGGTTTCTTTGTGTAGCCCTGGCTGTCCTGGATCTCACTCTGTAGACCAGGTTGGCCTCGAACTCACAGAGATCCACCTGGCTCTGCCTCCCAAGTGCTGGGATTAAAGGCGTGTGACACTGCCACCTGGCCTTATGTTACTTTAGTCAGAGTATTTTATCACAGAAAAAGAAAAGAAACTAAGGTTTTAGTCCTACGTGGAGAAGTCTCATTCAAGCCATTCCATGTTCAATATCACAGCGTTAAAACATTCTAATACGTTAAGATAGTAAAAGTAAACACACCTGATATCTTGATATGGTACAAAATCCTTGTCTACAAAGGTCTCATTGATTTTCTTCACTATGTCCATGCCTTCCGTCACTTCACCAAACACTGTATGAACACCATCAAGGTAATCTAGATTGTCTCCTGTAGTAATAAGAAACTAGACCGAAAGGCACATAATAAATATTAATATATATAATATATTATATATATGTGTGTGTGATATATATATATATATATATATGAAATTATGTATAACTCTAAAGAACACACCAAGACTCTACATTTACTGTATCAATTCTTGCACACTTATTTCTAGAACTAAATAAAAAAGACTGTTTATATCGACAGGTGCACAGATGTCCCCTGATAAACAGAAGAGGTGTGGTGTGGCCCCATGTGCACGCAGTGCCTATAGAAGCCAGAAGAGGGCATCAGATGCCTTGGAACTAGAGTTTCAGAGCATTGTGGATGCTAGAAATGGAACTGGGTCCTCTGGAAGAGCAGTTAGTGCTCTTAACCATTAAGCCATCTCTCTGGCCCCCCTTTTAATGTAGGAAAGAAATAATTTGGTATTTTCCCTAAAAAATGTCCTTTAGTACATCCTCTCATTACTGAGTAACTTGAAAAGATAACTTCATGGGCTCCTTCCAGTTCTTCACGCCCAAGCAAAGCTCATCTCCATCCAGGTCCTCACCTGAGATCCGTGCTGGTCACTGCCATTGTTCACCATGGACACAGTGCCTTTCTTTTTGTGCTTGATCCTTGGCACTTTTTCTGCCTCAAAAAAGCTTGCTTGATCACCATACAGTTGTCTGAAAGTATACAATAAAGTTATAAAACTTACATACTCTCAAAATGAGATGCAGATACTGTAACAGTGTAACTGTCTTTACCGATATCCCACTGTGATTCAAATACTCCTTTCTTCTTACAGGCATTCTGGGAACCTAGGGACTACCCTAGAATATGATCAATATTTTAACATGAAGATTGAACTACAGCAATTATACTTTGGTCTTATTTAAAAATAAAAGGTTAAGACCGGGCGGTGGTGGCGCACGCCTTTAATCCCAGCACTCAGGAGGCAGAGGCAGGCAGATCTCTGTGAGTTCCAGGCCAGCCTGGGCTACAGAATTGAGTTCTAGGATAGGTGCCAAAGCTACACAGAGAAACCCTGTCTCTGAAAAAAGAAAAAGAAAAAAAAAAAAAAAAGAATCTTGAATCTGAGCCAAGACTAAGCTACATGGTGAGTTCCAGGCTACAGAATAAGACCCCATCTCAAAGGCAATCAAAGAACAGATAAATGAAAAGGGTGGGGATATAGCTCAATCAGGAGAGAGTACGTTCAGAATGCACAAACTGTGGGTTCGATGGCTAGCATGTAAAGCCAGGCGTAATGGTACATGCTCTAATCCCAGAGCTTGGAAAATGGAGGCAGGAAGACCAGTTCAAGCCCATTCTCAGCTTGACAGAGATTGAGTTCAAGGTCAGCCTGGGCTACATGAAATCCTCCCTCTAAATACATACATATACACTGTCCTGGTTGGGGTTTTGTTTTGTTTTATCAAGTTGACAGAAGCTAGAGTTAAGAGTTATCACGAAGAGGAACCTAAATTGAGAAAACGGCTCCATCAGATTGTCTGTAGGCAAATGTATAGAACAGTTTCTTGATTAATGATGATGTCGGAGGGCCCAGCCCAGTGGGAGTCAGTGCCACCCCCAGCAAGTAGTTCCAGTTTGCATAGGAAAGCACACTGAGAAAGTCATGAGGAGCAAGCCAGTAAGAAGCGTTCCTTCAAGGCTTCTGCTTCAGTTCCCGCCCTAAGTTCCAGTCCTGACTTCCGTTATTAATGGAGAATTACCTGAAATAAATAAACCCTTTCCTCCCCACGTTTGCTTTTTGATCATGGTGCTTTATCACAGCAATGGAAACCCTAACTAGAACATGTACAGCCGGGCGGTGGTGGCGCACACCTTTAATCCCAGCACTCGGGAGGCAGAGCCAGGCGGATCTCTGTGAGTTCCAGGAAAGGTGCAAAGCTACACAGAGAATCCCTGTCTCGGAAAACCAAAAAACCAAGAAACAAAAAAAACATGTTCAGGCTGGAGAGATGGCTCAGAGGTTAAGAGCACTGGCTGTTCTTCCAGAGGTCCTGAATTCAATTCCCAGCAACCACATGGTGGCTCACAACCATCCGTAATGAGATCTGGTGCCTTCTTCTGGCCTGCAAGCATGCATGTAGGCAGAACACTGTATACATAATAAATAAATAAATGTTTAAAAAAAAAAACATGTTCATAAGAACTTACCCGAAGACAGACTCTCCTCCACGGCCGGTCCCCGTAGGATCTCCGGTCTGTATGATAAAATCCCTCTATAACATACAGAATTATTTGTTAATTCACAGTTTGCTATACGTTTCCAATAACAAAGAGCATGACAAACATCTACCAACTCACCTGTACATTGTGAATAAGGCAATAATTGTAATATTTTATTTTGCACAACTTCAGAAAATTCAAGCAAGCTGAAAAAAAGTAAAAACTAAATTTATTACCAGAAAGCAAAATTCAGTTTTAAACAAATTTGTAGAAGCACAATTAGTACAACTTAATCTCTACATTCACATTTTTATTGAAAGAAAAACAAAGGTTCTGGTGAGGAGGTTCATAGGTAAAGATGCTTGCTGCCAAACCTGAAAACCTAAGTTCAATTCCCAGAACCTACATGTCAGAGAGAACAACTCCCGAAGGTTGTCCTCTGACCTCTGTAAGCATGCTGTGGCATACACTCATTTATATACAAACAATAAATAAATGTCAAAAGAACAAGCCAAGTCCAAAGCCATAAGAAGGGGCACTACGACTTTATAAAAGTCAGCTTCTTTGAGGGTGTAGCTACTGGTATGTTTCCCATGCTGCAGTGGATGGTTCCACACCCATGCACATGTGGTAGTACCAGCTAGATATGAAGCTGGGAGGGGGACATATTAGAGGGATATGAAAGGAGTTGGAGAGGAAATGGGGATTTACATGCTCATATCTCACTATATGGCATACATGGATGACAGTCTCAAAAATACAGAAAGAGTAACTAATACAGCCTTGGCAAGCTGTAAGCACACACATGCACACACATGTACAGAAAATAAGTAAAATATATATTTTTTAAAAGATGAAAGAGAACTGGGCATGGTGGCACAGGCCTTTAATCCCAGCACTCAGAAGGCAAAAACAGGCAGTTATCTGAGTTTGAGGCTAACCTGGTCTACAGAGCAAGATCCAGGACAGCCAGGGCTACACAGGGAAACCCTGTCTTGAAAAACCAAAAAGAAGGGAAAAAAAAAGAAAAAGAGAAAGAAAGGAAGGAAGGAAGGAAGGAAGGAAGGAAGGAAGGAAGGAAGGAAGGAAGAAAGGAAGGAGAGAAGAAAAAGAGAATTGGACTGGTAGAAAGTAAAAAAATGAGAATGATGGGGGTAGGGGACATGCTCAACGTCAGTGTTTAGCATGCAGAAGGGCCTGGATTAGATTCTCAGACATGTGCTACCATGCCTGGCCCCGGTAATACTATTTTTCAGTTATTTTTCTCTTATAGATACACACTAAAGTAATTTCAGATTAAATAAGTCCAGTAGGGGTAGGAGATCCTGTAAATGAAACAAAATTAGCTATGTGTTGACAACTAGTAATGAAGTTGGTCATGGGTACTTAAGATTTCATTTACTGATTATCTTCACTTTGTTTAAATTCTTTTCTTTTCTTTTTTTAAGTTCCCCCTACCCTCAGCAGAGTTTCTCCGTATAGCCCTGGCTGTCCAAGAACTCACTCACTGGGATCAAAGGTGTGCACCACCATGCCTGGCTTACTTAAAATTTTTCAGCAATTAAAATTAAAAAAAAAAATCAATCTGGACATGTGGATATGCTTACTATTGATTGGTAAGTAAGTATACACGTAACTAGATGCCCAGTCACTCTCCTTCAAATATATGCACACACGTAGACATGCTTTTGGTGTCCCAAGCTTTCTTTGCAGAACTCCTGCGTGTTAACAATGTGTGATAACCCTGTCCCCTCTTCAGGAGTGCACAACTCTGGGGAAAGGGGTCCATTCATTACGTAAAGTGCCGCTCTACATGCGGAGTGTCAATGGGGCTCCAGGAAAAGAAAACACAAAATCAAGAGACAAAATACAATTCCACAGAGCATCCTTGGAGCCCTCAGATCCAGCCACCCTTACACATCCAAGCTTATCCCAGTAACAGAAGGCAACTGAGAACTTTGTTTAAGCGCTCTTGAGTTGCATGTCTATCCCTTGACTGAGTATTAAGCAAAAACAACACATTCCTATGCATTACTTGCTGCACCATACCACTAGTACATGTTCTCAGAGTGGCAGATAACTGAGATAGCAAGTAAGGTACGGTTCCTACTCTCCTTGGGGCATGTTACTGAAAAAAGACAGTCATGCACATAGTTCCAGGACAGTTAAGTATAGGTTCTAATAAAATGAATGCCATTGTGATTTATAAAACCACCATCGCAGGCAGAACAGAAGGAACAGATTAACTTTGATCTTCTGAGCGCTGCACAGAAGAGCTCGTGTTTTATCTGAGATCGGAAGAGTCAGGAAGTTCCCGGAAGGATAAGCGTGGGGAGGAACGTGGACAGAGGCAACAGTAAGAAAATGGAAGAGTGCAGGAGAAAGTGGAGTGTTTGTGGGTGGAGGGGAGAAACAGTTGAGCGTGGGAGAAGGTGTCTGTGGCAGGAGGCACTCTGTGCAGTACGGCAGTTCCTTTCATTCTCCGCTAATCTCTGCATTCCGCAGGGGAAGGACAGCGATTGGAGCTAATCTCGCTTGGTTTCCCGATTCCCACAATGGATACAGGGATCACACAGCTGCCTATTATCATTCCAAGGCAAGTGTGCCATACTGTAATCCTTCAAATGCTGTGACCATCTGCAAGACACGTAAGACTATTCAGGACCTGACCTACCAGTACCTAACCTGACTGGAAGTCGGTGGCATCTGTTCCATCATCCCACATACCAGTTCGTTCCAGCCATGCCAAACTTCTTGCTACTTCCAGAAAAATCTGCAAACTGCTAAGAAAACCTCCCTTGCCACTCGTCTCCGAAAAAGCTAGTTTTCTTCCTTGGCTTGTTCCCAACCCGACTAGGGAAGAAGACTCGCTCACCTCTCTGTTTTCCATAGCAACGAACACGTCCTCCTCCTAGGACTCTTAAGTTAAAAGTGGGGCCCGCTCCGTTCTCCCTCCGTGGAAAACCAGGCTCCACAAGATGAGACGCCTAAACTCTAGCTGACCCCTGGCGCCTGGCTGGCTACCCACACCACACCGGCGGCAGACACCAGGTGTCGTGTAACCAGGAGGGAGGCGACGGCCACCCTCCCGAGAACCAGACGCACCCTGCCTGCTTTCATGGCGACAAATGACACTCACTTAAACCAAGCCCCCTCCCTCCCCACACACACACCAAATTTTTTTTTAAAGCCAAGGCCCGCTATGAAACCGAGCTCGAGCCAGAAACAGCGAAGGGAAGGGAACCTGGGCAGCGGGTTCGCGGCCCCCGCCGCCCGGGCGCGGAGGACGCAGGCCTCACCGCGCGGCCGCTCTTCGGTGTACAAGTCGATGACCACGTCGCCCAGAGTGGTCTCCAGAAGAACCGCCATGGCGCCGGCTTCTCCTCGGGAACAAACCTCCCCGGCGATGACAGGCGTAGGCAGCGCGCGGCTGCGCCTGACGTCACTGGCTGCGCGACGCGTGCGGCGTCATTCGCGAGCGCCGCCGCCGCCGCCCGGCTTGGAAGCGCAACTTCCGGCCGCCTGCTGACCGCGTCGGTGGCCCCGGCTGCTGACGGCTGCTGCGGGCTGTCGGCCGTCCGGCCTGCGGAGGCGTTTTGAAGGGTCGGCGTCGCCCTTGGTGACCCGTATAAAGGCCTGTCCCTCAAGAGGGCCATTCTATAGGGATATCGTATGCATCCGAGACCATCCCAGAGCAGGGAGGCCTCCAAACCCGCGCCGCGCCGCGGTCTTCCCTCGCCCTTGTAAGAGGGGGGCCCCGGGGATTCCAGTCTCTAGGCTCTCCTTCAAAAACGCCAGGCCGCAGGCGACCTGTTGCTGCAGGAAAAGGTGACTAACCTGCTTTGGATTTTTTTTTTTTAACCTACTGTTATGTAGCTCAGGACTGTACATGGTTTGGCAGCACGGGGAGTTATTTTGGGCGACATATTAGAATGCAATAGGCATCTATTTTTTTAAACACTTTTTTAAAAAGATTTATTTATAATGTATACAGTGTTGTGCCTACATGTGTCCCTGCAGGCCAGAATAGGGCGCCAGACCTCATTACAGATGGTTGTGAGCCACCATGTGGGTGCTGGGAACTGAACTCAGGACCTCTGGAAGAGCAGTCAGTGCTCTTAACCGCTGAGGCATCTCTCCAGCCCAGGCATCAATTTTAAACTTTTTAGTATTTACTTAAGGGAAGGGTGCTTGTTCGAGAACATGAATGTGGTGGTCCGCCTCTGACCACCCGCATTCCACCATGTGTTTCCTAGAAGTGGCTCTCAGGTCATCAGGACCATCTGCCTAACCTTTAAATTTCTCCTTATTAATATTCTAACTTAGGAGACTTACCAGAACTAATGTTTTGGAACGCTGATAACATACTTCCATAAGTTTATTACACTCTTTTCTGGCCAAACATTTTTCATTTTTATGTCGTTTTAATCTGTACTTGTGAAAATCAGAGACGTGATATAACAGATCATAGGCATATCCAAGAAGGTAAGGAGAAAAGGCTTTTTAAAGGTAAACTTACAAAAATGCTTTTTGAAACAATTCTAGAACTAGAAGTTCACCAAGCATGTGTATTTCCTTGGATTACAAGGAAATTAGGAAATAGAAGCTGGTAAAGAAAAATGAGCTTATTTACAGCCTGGTCCCATTTGGAAGGGTCTAATCTCAAACCCTGCACCTGTGTCCATTTTATAATTTAGAGAGTCATGGGAGAAGTGCTAGAACACATGTAGATTTAACTATGCAGGAGTTAATCAGACACTGGATGTATTTATATGTTCTGCTTATTAGTGAAGCCATATTGAATAGATCTCTTTTCTCTGCTTTCACTATTATTTATCTCTTTCATTGGCATGATTTAGATGGATGACTGAGCCTTTGTAGTTTGAGCTGGAAGAAAACAGGCTTATTTTCTAATAGCAGTACAGCATTTGCCTTGCATGTGTGAGTCCTTTGTTTCAAACTCTGTTACCAAAACAGCTATTTAGATCTGTTTTTGCACACACACACACACACACACCATTGACTCCATAAGATGCCTAAAAGCAAAATGAAAATTCTGAGATGTTAATGTCCTTAACTTTTCCTAATGTCACAATGGATTCTTAGAACAGCAGACCTTCTCAGGAGAGATATTCCTCAATGGAGGGCAATTCTAATAGCCAAGCCTACACAGTAAGACAGGATACAATTTTAAGAATAAGATCTAATTTCTCACGTTTAGAAGATGGCTCAGTGGCTAAAAACCTTGCCACCAAGGCTGACAACCTAAATTTGGACCTCTGAAACCCATAAGATAGAAGGAGAGAACTAACTCCCCAAATGCTACCCTCTGACCTCCATATGCACACCATATCCACTCACACATGCATTTTTTAAAAGTGTCTTGGAGTCTGGAGAGATGACTTAATGCTTAGTAGCACTGGCTGCTCTTCCAAATGACCCAGTCCAACACCTAGCAAGAACATGGCTGCTTATAATCATCTGTAACTCCAGTCCAAGAGGTCACACACCCACTTCTGGCCTTGAAGCATATTGCATGCTCATGGTTGACAGGCATACATGTAGGTGAAACACCCATACACATAGAATGAAAATAATTTTTAAAAAGTTTCTCAGGATGACACATTAAGGACTTTGTCGGGGAGAGGCTGGAGATGTAACTCATTTGATAGAATGCTTTCCTTGAGTGGATACAGGCCAGGGTAAGGTTTCTAGCACCATATAAACCAGGAATGATAATACACATCTGTAGTCCTGGCACTCAAGTTGTGGAAGCAGGAGAATCAGTTCAAGATCACAGTCACTATGTAGCAAGTAGAAGCAAACCTTGGATGCATGAGGCCCCGCCTCAAAAACAACATTTGAATCAGATCTGCACAGCATTCTGTGAGTGAAACCTGGAAGGAACTAAAGTATACATAGGAACTTACATACAGACTCATACAGCAGCATCCAAGACGGATGCACAGAGGCAGGACCAACATGCTGTGGGATGGTCTGTATATCAAATCTGTTGCTCTGATTGGTCAATAAATAAAACACTGATTGGCCAGTGGCCAGGCAGGAGGAAGTATAGGCGGGACAAGGAGGAGAATAATTCTGGGAAGCAGAAGGCTGAGTCAGAGAAACTGCCAGCCGCCACCATGACAAGCCGCATGTGAAGACACCGGTAAGCCACAAGCCATGTGGCAAGGTATAGACTTATGGAAATGGATTAATTTAAGCTATAAGAACAGTTAGCAAGAAGCCTGCCACGGCCATACAGTTTGAAGCAAAATAAGTCTCTGTGTTTACTTGGTTGGGTCTGAGCGGCTGTGGGACTGGCGGGTGACAGAGATTTGTCCTAACTGTGGGCAAGGCAGGAAAACTCTAGCTATACCAACATTTGCACCCAGTGTCCTGAAGGAATTGGCAGAGGAGTGACAAGACCTGGGAATCCATCTGTGAAGCACTGCCCACTAACTGGGACAGCATGGGTAATCGATTGTCCTAAGGAAGACTCCCATTGCAGAGGAATGTCCAAGCTGTAACAGGATCCTAAGACTTGGGAATGGATTGCAAGAGAATCCAGATGAGAGTCAATAATCAGGCCAGTCTTTTTATATCCTAGATTTCAATCCAGCTTTCTCCCTCCACACCTACACTGTTTGATATCCATGTCATTTCAGGATGCTCTGCACCATTCTTTCTTGCCCTCACTCCTGCTCACATTTGTTCCTTATTTTCTTTTGCTTTTATCGTCTCCCAATAGACATATTCTGGTCTGGTTTGCAGGGTGTCTGTTACTCGGTCTCCAGAGAGACAGTGTTGTTTATGTTATCTGATAGCCTGTCTTTACCTCTTTCTTAGGTCTACTTTTAGCCAAAAATCCTTGTCTTCCCCTGCTCTTTTTTTTGTTCTTAAAGATTTATTTATTTGGGGGCTGGAGAGATGGCTCACTGGTTAAGAGCACCAGTTGCTCTTTCATAGGACCCAGATTCGATTCCCAAGCACCCACATGGATGCTCACAACTGTCTGTGATCTGGCACCCTTGCACAGACATACATGCAGGCAAAAATTACAATGCACATAAATTTTTTTTTTAAATAAACTCTTTTAAAAAAAAGATTTATTTATTAGGTATACAATGTTCTATCTGCAAGTATGCCTGCAGGCCAGAAGAGGGCACCAGATCTCATTACAGAGAGTTGTGAGCCACCATGTGGTTCCTGGAATTGAACTCAGAACCTCTGGAAGAGCAGCCAGTGTTCTTAACTGCTGAGCCATCTCTCCAGCCCTCCTGATCTTGTTTTTCCCCTGTAGTTCCCCCTACTATTTATGTTCTCTTCCTCTTCATTGTCTCTATCATCCCAATACTAATCACTAATCTTACTGTATTTTTCTTTGTACTTATTGCTCATTAGTTACCTACAATAACTAATCTGTCAGTACACACAGTACTATCATTGTCTCTTTACTCCTTTAAATGATTAGTGCTTAAAGGATGATTGGTTTATACTTGACTATTTACCCCTCTGTTTTCATAGTGGATCTACCCATGGATAGGAGTTGCTTTTGCAGACAGTATTCTTTGTACAGAAGAGTACTGGGGACAGAGCCTGGTGCCATGATTAACAGTCTAACAGTAGAAAACAACTTCTGAACTCTCCTACAACATTGTCTGCACCTAACCTACCTAACTCCTGATATTCAAGTCTCTGTAGAGGGCATGAGGTTTTTGTGCTCACAGATAAGCACTAGGGAAACCAGGAATATTAAGCATGCATGCTCCTCTCTTCAATGGAAGGGATGTGTATACCTGTTTTTTACCCAGAAGGTTGTCAATAGCCTGGTGGTCTGTGCTATCTGTAGGGCCTGGCCACACAGAGTCCCTCAGACTTAGTTTATCTCCCTTGTTAGACCTTTAGCTTTGTTTCTCAGTCAGGAGAACCCTCCTTAAGGGAGTTGGCACATGTGCTTTATAGCCTGGTGACCTCTACACATCTGTGTGACTGAGACCAAATCAGATCCTAGGCACTTAAGCTATAGAACCCATCTTTATGGTAGAGGTCGCATGTACTTTGCAAAAGAGTTTGAATGTAGTCACACCTTAAGTTTAGTGTACATATGGACTTGAGATAATTGTTACCAGGAAACATTTTTCCCAAGTTGCACTGTACTTAAATATATTTAAAATAAACTGCCTGTTGTCAGACTCTAGAAGTATGAACCAATGCCAGCTGACTAAGTCATGTTGAACCGGATTTCCTTGTCTCACTCAGTTTCTCTGCCGGCCATGGTGCTTGCAGAGACCTTCACAAGTCTCAGTGCAAAAACACAAGTAAAATAAAAAGACAGTATGGCTTCTCTCAAATCTGCCAATCAAGAGTATTCATATGCAATGGGAATGATTTAGTGGGAATTCTAAAGAACTCGATGGTGATGATACATGTG